TTTAGGTTGAGCGTTCATTCGATCGATTCATTGTCTCTTTTTTTATTATTATTATTTTAAGGGCTTTTACCTACTTCAGATATATCAGTCTTATCGTACCCTGAACCGATTTCTCAAACGAAAACTTTATCTACTTTCCCTAGACTCTGCTTAGAATGGTATATATGAGTAAATAATATGAAAAAGGCTTATGCTTCTTGTAATCCAATGTAGTAGAAAAAAGCCTATTGTCAACTTTCGGATTCATTTGGTTTCTTACTAGCCTTTTCTATAACCGAATAATTCAAATTTAAATTAAAATAGAAAAAAAAAAATAACAAAAAACCTAAAGAAATTTCCTATAGGCCTACCATGTTCCAAGTTAACCATGTTGTTAATCCAGTTTGAAAGTTAGTCAATAAAGTAGAAATACGCTATCATAAAACTGCGTTTTGTGAGATTGGCTGGTTCGACGAATAAAATCATATGTTACTATGCTTGATAGCAGCAACTTAACCACAGTACTTTCACTGCGGCCCGCGACCTTGACTACGCGACCCCGACTGATCGAGTTTTGGACACTGCTTACCTTCGACACAAAAGATGCGTTATGCTTATGCCATCTGCTAATCGTTTAACACTCAAAACACGTATTACGATCCTTTTAATAAGATTTAAAATTGTGAAATACTTTCAACACCTTCTGTTACAGAATAACTGCTGTTAGTATATTTTATATTTATTACACTGTTAAATATCGTATCGTTAAATGTCATGTCGTATAGGGAGATAAAGGATATGGCCTAGGATAGAGCTGGCTGGAGGAAGATGTATGAATTAGTTGCACCGACAAGAGGAAACTCTTAAATGAAAACAAGACTGTTAAATATATAGGGTTAGCTTTTACCTGTGGCTTCATATGCGTGACCGAGATACATTTGCTGGTTGGAATGAAAAGAAAAAAGGGGAAAAATGTTAGGACACTTGATACGACACGACGAACTTATGAACATTATAATAGAAGGTAAGATAGAAGGAAGAAGGGGGAGAGGGAGACCGAGACATAGTTACATCAGGCAGATCAAGGAAGGAGTTGGTGTCGTGTCGTATCAAGAGGTGAAGAGACTCGCTGAAAATCGTAGTGAGTGGCAAGAGCTCCACCGACAATAGCGCAGCTCTTAAATGGATAGATAGATAGATAGATAGGAATGAATAGTAGTCCACATCCTTTTCCATCTCTTATAGTGCGTATATACTAAATTTCATAGTGATTGGTTATGCCGTTAAGGCGCTATAAAGTAATAAACAAACAAACTCACTTTCACATTTATAATATTAGTAAGGATACCTACTAGGTGGCTTGTCAAACGTTGTTTTCCTTCATACAGTCACCTACCGGTTCCATTTTTTCTTATCGTGATAAAAATATCGTATCTATCAAGTTGTTGGAAACAATTATAATATTTCATCAAAATAGGTTTTTTTTTTATGCGTGAAAATGGTATGGTAACCACGCCTGCGCTAACGGGATACGCTGCACGGAGCACCAGTGAAGGGTGATAGATGAGAATGAAAACAGGTCAGTTAGCCCATCATGATGAACTCATCAGGAATTAACCATGATAGTCTTCAGGGAGAACCGTGCGGAGGTCGACCTGATTGGGTATATTGCTACCAATGGAATTCTCAGTCTCCATTACTAACAATCCCTTTCCCTCCTATTCATCAAAATAGGTTTAACGGATTCGGAGATTAACGTAAACAAACATCGTGCCGCAAAGTTTTATGTATTAAAATATGTACAGAATTATCTTATTAGGTTATACTTAAGCTAAGTATAAATGTATAATAAAGCAGACTTTAGTCGTTGTAGTAATTACTACTAGTTACAGTCTGGTTATCTATTTCATACGCTATCAAGAAGAAATGGCTAAAAGGACTCCATTGAAATAAGTCCAACTTAAAATATATGTTTTATTAGAATAAGTAGAGCCCGTGACATATTGTAGTCTTTGAGGGAGTGATGCATTGTAAGAGTTGTAGCCTAGACCGCTCCATTGTATGAAGATAAAATTAGTGTTATAAATCACGTATACGAATAGTTAAAATATTTTTTTGTGTCTTTAAAAAATAATTTCCTTGACCCTAAATGACTTAACACAAAATAATCATAATGAACTTTGGTCTTTAACCGTGCGTGTGCGTGTTGCCAGTGACTTACGGAACTGAAACGTGGTCCTACAGGATTGCCCGTATGCAAAAATTACAAGTTACTCAGCGGGTTATGGAGAGGGCTATGCTCGGAATCTCTTACTCTCACCAAAGGAAGACTTTGTACAAAAGTCGATTGCTTAGGTACCTCTGTCCCATTCATGTTTCAACCGTGAAACAGTTGCATGGCTGTGTTTCGGTTTGAAGGGTGGGATATGGCGTGAATTTACTGGGTACAAAGGAATAACCCCTAAGTCCTCAGGAATGGTGACGCATGGGGGGTATCATGGGCGAAACAGTATACTTTGTTGTGTCCATGGTACTGTTCATGTCTATAGGCGACGGTTACCACTTTCCATCAGATGGGCCGTCAGCTTGTTTACCATTCTAAGTTATATAAAAAAAAAATCTCTTTGCGTGATAGAATCCGAAGCGAGGATATCCGCAAAAGAACCAAAATAACCGACATAGCTCGAAGGATAACCAAGGTGAAGTGGCAATGGGCTAGTCACATAGCTCGCAGAACCGACAACCAATGGGGAAGAAAGGTTTTTGAGTGGCGACCTCATACGGGTAAACGTAGTGTAGGATGACCCCCCACTAGATGGAGTGACGTCCTGAAATGCGTTGCAGGAAGTCAGTGGATGCTGGTGGCTCAGGACCGTTTTTTATGGCAGTCTATGGGAGAGGCTTATGTCCAGCAGTGGACGGATAATGGCTGAAATGATGATGAATGATGAATCATAATGAAGTCAAGGGTATAATTAGTTAGTACAGAAATGCAACAATGGCTATATAAAATAATATCATAATTATAAACCTATATATTTGACAGTGTGATATACCCCTTATAGCTATATTGCCTACCCATGACTAAATCGTTTTATCTTTAATAGCAATAAGTTATAAACCAATAACAATAAGAATTAAACTCAATGTCGATTATACATATTTTAATTTAAAAAATGGACATTCTAAGTAGAAATAGGTAAATTCAACATTTATAATATAATATATGAAAATATTTTGTTGCATTTGTGTCTATTATTTTCTAAAAAGTTTATATTAAACTGCTTATAGTGTTTAGATTATTTATTAAATATTTTTAATGGGCGATAATGGATTAGTAACTACGCCTATGCTATCTGTACTGTCGGTATTCACTGACGGAGCACCAGTGAAGGATGATTGGAGAGGGTAAGGATAAGGTAAAATGAGAAGATAGGTTAGTATTACGATGGGCTACATCGTGATGAAATGACCTGAAATTGAGCACGATGGTTTCCAGAGGGGACCGCGTGGAGGACGACCCGTTAGGATATATTACTAGCAGTGAGAATTCGCATCTCCATTACTTAAATCCCCTTCTCCCCTTACGTATCAACAATAACCATGACTTCGTCTATAATAATGAATACTTGGGCCCAGAAAAAAAAAACGATTTTTATTGTGACAAAACTAATTATTTCGATTTAAAAACTAAACTACTGAACTGATTTTGATAAAATTTATATGGGATCAATCTGTAAGCATATCCTTTCAAATAATAAAACCAATTTTCTATATCGGTTTAGAACTGACAGAGTTATGAGTTAACAAACATAAAAAATACGACCGAAAAATAGAACCTCCTTCTTTTGTAAGTCGACTGAGAAGTAACGTTTTCTGCACGCCATACATTGATTTTCATCGTGCCTCCGATCAAACTGTTTATAATTACTCCTCTCCATCCAAAGGTTGCCTGAAAGAGATTATCGCTTTTAGCGATAAGGTCGCCTATTGTTTTCTCATTATGATTATTTATTGTTATTGTTTATATCTATAATAAGTTTACTATTGTAATCTTTTGGAGGAAACAATAAAGAGTATCTATCTATCTATCTATTATGATACCTATATAGCAGTTCCATTTGCTTGAACTTATAGGACTCATATCAATAATTGCATAATACACAATGCATTATTTGACTAGCACATCATATCGTAAACATAGTATTGTTTAAGTTTACGTAAAAATACAATAAAACAACAAAATAGATTTACATTGATTATTTACTATTCAAACGGGTGAGTGAAAGGTTATTGTTAAATAAACAATGCTTTTTGTTTTATTTCAGTAAAACATATTATTATTAGATCATCATTACGATGACTGTTGTAATTTTAATGTGACATACTTTTGTTCTTTATTTATTATGTTTTGTTTTGTTGTGAAAAGAGATTTACAAATCCGTTCTATTTTTTTTTTGTATGATTTTATATACGAGTAGTAATGGCATAAACAATAATTTAAGATTTTGTTCCGCAAATCAAAAGCGACTTCAATTGTGGTAAAATCAATTAATTTCATTTTTAAACTAAAATGTTGTTAATCTTTTATTTTTATAGATACAAAAATATATAACAAATCGGTTTATAACAGACAGAGTTATGAGGCAACAAAAACATAAAAATAAAACAAAAAATAAGCAATTTTTATTATTTTTGTTTTTTGTCTATGTTGGTCTGAGACGTATTTTGTCAAAATTATAATATTTTTTTTAATAAAGATTATGTTTGGTGTCTAATTAAATAGTAAAGAAAACTAGCATTTCCATTGTTAATATTATACCCAGGTCGATATCTTGACGGTCCTTTCCTGTAAACCGTCGTGAGTAATTCGAGATGATTTCGTGATAATGGAGCAACTAACTTGGCACAAACCATAAATAAAACATAACCACAGTACTTTTCCATTTCCATCTATTAGAAAAACCTTACTTAGTATATAATTTATTACAAGTGAAATATGTTTCAACATAAATACTTACCACGAAGTATGGACAGTTTGATTTCATCTTGACATAAGGTTATAACCCTTTCTATCTTTTGAGGAGCGGTGGGTGGATTCCGACATCTTTTTTCCTGTAACAAAAAAAAATTATAAATTACTTATTGATTATTGAAGACAGTGGATGACAGCATCCACCACTTTTGACAGCTGCTGTGTAATATCTAAGGGACATTGTAATTGTATATAAATCTTTCAATCATGCAGACGAAGTTGTGAATTTTTTTTTAATGCATGATTAATGGAATTGTAACCCCGCCTGCGCGAACGGTATTCGCTGGCGGAGCACCAATGAGTGATAATAGGTGAATAATGAAAAAAAGCAGGTCAGTCAGCTCATCGTGATGAATACACCTGGAACTCAGCACGATGGTTTCCAGGGGGAACCGCGTGGAAGTCAACCTGACAGGGTATATTGCTAGCAATGGGACTGGTAGCCCGCATTACTAACAATCCCTTCCCCCCGAAGTTGTGAATAAAAATTAGATTAAACAAATTGAATACACGAAGTACAATGACGTTTTTTTTTCTACAATTTTTATGATGACATGAAGAATTGAACAATAAATTAAGCACGATGATTTCTAGAAAGAACTGCGTGGAGGTCGACCTGATGAGGTTGGAATAGTAATAGTAATGAATAGTAATGGGCAAATCCCTATTGCTAATAATCCCTTCTCCCAACGTACTCGTATGTATTCAGGAGCGTTACTGTTTATATAATATGGTGTTATCTTAAAAATGTTATTTATCAACAATGGTTAATTCACAGACGATATGGGAGATTGACTCAGACCGGGCCACAATGAAACCTTGCAATGGACATCCAAACTTAGCCATTGTCTGCACAACTCGACAATACGCGACTTACAACAATAGGCACTTGTTTGGTCACTTTACAGACGTAATTTTGACGCGTAAACAATAAGTATTCAAACATTTCCAATAAATATAATAAACAATGATTTCGATTCGTTCAGCTGAAAATCATTTGGACCGAGGACTTGAAATAAAAATAATAATGTCAACATTCCTGCTGATAAGGTCAGCATTAAGACTGAGTTTTGAAGTATACATATTCCATATTTCATTATGGGTGAATCGACCATTGGTCCCTAAGCATACATAAGAATTGTGGGTTTGATAGTATACTCGTATATATATATACAGGATAATTTATAATTTTATGAATGAATGAGTATACTTTATTTGCATTATACAATATAGGAAATAAACAAGACAATTTACAAACATAACGATACAATTGTATAAGTACAGTAAGGCGGTCTTATTGCTGAGAGCAATCTTTTCAAGACAACCTTAGGGTAATGGACTAATTGTTGTACAAGTAGGTATAATAGTGCTTTATAATTAAAAAAGCATCTTTTGCAAATTAAAAATATATAAAAATTATATACATATATACACACATATATACATACATATATATACATACACATACACACACATACCATATATACATACACATACATATATACACAATCACATACATATACATATCAATTTATCTAGGATTGAGTAAAATCCATCACGTATGTATGTACCTACATTATAATTGCGTATATTTGTTATGATTGAATTTTAAAAAAAATCGTATTTATATAATAAATATAATTCATGCACAAATATACCATTTCCAAGATATATATCTTACTATATGTAGGATATATACACGAGTGTATATCCTACAGAGGGTATCAACCTATTTCGCGGAAGGGAAAGGGATTGTTAGTAATGCGGACTATCAGTCCTATTGCTAGCAATACACCCTATCAGTTCGACCTCCACGTGGTCCCCCCTGACCATCGTGCTGAATTCCAGGTGTATTCATCACGATGAGCTAACTGACCTGCCTTTTCATCCTCACCTCACTACCATTCCATTGTCATCCATTAAAAAAAACCTATTTCGCGAGAGCAAACTTTAAGTTTACATTAATACTTAAGTGCTTTTAACGAAAAAAATTAACAGATATAATCTTACTTTAAATAGATGATTGTAACGACCATAATATTTACTATTACGTAACGTAACATAGAAAGAGACAACAAAACAACTGTAAAGTTAAAACGAGACGGAGGATACTTGAATGAAATCAGTAGGTATCTTTAGTTGACCACCACTAGTGGATATTTACTTTCTAATTTAAAAGTAGCGTCTTAAAACTTGCAATGATTTTACAAGATCCATATGCAATCTTGTGTGTAATTTTCACTGCATTGGTCAACTAATAAAAATGTGGTAACGTCGGAAAACATAAGCTAACCGACCTAGACCTATTATGGTGTGTTTATGTTGCTCAAAAAGTTTCGAAAGATGCATGTGAACTTATTCCTTTACGCAATTATTATTTAGTATAATTTTTAGATAACAAAAGATTCGAAAAGGTTACTTTACTGTATGAACAATAATTTTGTTGAGGTGAAAAGAGATTGGTAGTAATGGGGAATTAACAACCCCATTGCTAGCAATATACCCTATCAGGTCGACTTCCACACGGTTCCTTTTGGAAACCATTGTGACCGATTCATTGTTGAATTAGTCATGACGGGCCAACTGACATGCTTCACCTCCACCTATCAACCCTCACTGGTACCCCGCCAGCATATTACCGATAGCGCAGATAAGGTTACCATTCCATATTATCCATTCATCCATTCCATATTGCCGTATGTGCCTCAGCATAGAATGAGCCACTCCTTCCTTTTTCGAGGGTGTCACAAGAGGCGATTAAGGAAGGGCGAGGGATGGGCAGCAGCGTCTCTCTTAAAACATCTTTAAAAGACAAACTGCGGTTGCCAAACCCACCTGCAAAGCGTGGCAACTACTAGCAAAACTCCCCTTATGGGGAAGGCTTATCAGCATATGCTGGACATATCCAGCAGTAGACAGAAGGCTTATGAGTTTACACATAATTTAATGGCTGAAATAATAATAATAAAAATCATCCATTAAAAAAATTCAGTTGTTTTTACAGTTAGTCATAAAGGGACCAATACCAAGTTGCAAGTTTCAAAACAAGATATATATGAATCTGAACAACTTGCTCTAAATAGTAAAATTGAAACATTCAATTTATTTTGAACTTTTCTTATATATTTTTTTTATTTTCTACCAAAAGCTACTACTAAGATATTGTAAAGAAGATCACTGGGTAATTTCTCATCATCAGTTCTCGTCAATAACATTCTGATGTGCGTTGACCTTTGTACCGGTTTACTGATAACCACACATTAAACATGCCCATTGACCTACTAACTTAACCTTGCAACTTCTATGTCACTATTAAAATTTCCCAATTTCTTATCGTCATAAATATACCTATAATATATAAATAACATCCAAAATAAATAATATTCCAAATATCCTACTTACTATATACTAATAATCCGGCCCGACTGCGTACGGGTAGATAGAATTTTCGAAAATAATATTGTATACAGCCTATGTTACGCGTTGACTTTGATAAAATAGCATTGAAGATGTTTTTTTTTATATCGCTCGAGTAGTTTTTGAGTTTGTACATTACTAACAAACAAACAATCAGATCTTTCCTCTTTATAATATTAGTGCATCATGCATTTTATTAATCCGGATCAAAAATCAAAACTATGGGCATTAATATATATTATTTGAGCCTTTTAATTTATATTGTTTGAACTTTATCATTTCTGGTAGAGAGCATTGTAATTCAAATTTTATGCTTTCACTTTCGTTTTTAAGTACAACTTTAAATGTTATTGTTTGTAAACATGCTTAAATACAATTTTTTTTCTGGGCACAATAAAGCAAATATATATCACAGATGTGTGGTGTAAATAAAGCATTTTCTCTCTCTCTCTCTTTCTTTCTCTCTCTTTCTTTCTCTCTCTCTCTCTCTCTCAGTCTCTCTCTCTCTAATATAAAATGTAGTATATTACTTTATTTCGTAAATATGTCATGCTTATAATCTTGTAAATATTTTGAGTAGAAAAGTAGGTACAATTAGTTTCAAAGCCTAAGGCGATATCATATTCGCCTTTGCAGAACACCATTATATTATACTTAGAAATTATAAAAATTGACCAAATTTACTTTCCTTTAGTAATCATGAGCATGAACTTGAACAAATAAAAAATTATCTCAGTGTAACTGAGAAATCAACTCATCAAAATTGTATAATGCCCCTATTTTAAAATGAAAGCCCCATAGTTAACTACTTTTTATGGATCGTGATGGTACCGTTTTAAGTACTATCAGCATTGAATAATAAGAGAAAGTGAAAAATATTGTGTAATATAATCATATGATTTTTATCTCTATCGAAATGTACATAAAACACAATATCAGATAGTTTCATTAGGATCTTGATAGTTAAGCTTACTTATCTATTTTACTTTATAACAAAACTATATCGCTGTGCGGTCCCGGCATAGAACAGGCTTCTCCTTCGTTTCCCGTAGATGTCGTAAGACGCGACTAAGGGAACATTAACGGTTGAGGGAGGGGTAGCGGTGTTCCTCTTAAAACATCACTAAGGCCAAACTTCGATTGCTAACCTGCCTGCCAAGTGTGGCAACTACGAGTAAAACCCCCTAATAGAAGAAGGCTTTTGTCATAATATAATTTTTCACGGCTCTGGAATGCGCTTCCTGATACCATTAAGAGACTACCAACTAAACTGTCTTTAAAAAAAAAGGTTCATGCTCACTTTTTTACTTTATCCGAGCAATAAGTACTATATATTATTCTCAATTTCGTGCATAATATAGTATACTTTATATATGTTTAAGTATATTTGTTATTTATATCTACTTATTCGTTTATATATGTAATTTTAGTATGTACGTGTATCAATTAGTACCTCATGCAAGTATTCTGACATTTACCTATGATTGACTAGGAGAGAACGCTTTTAACGTTAAGTCCGCTATTTATGTACTAATGAATAAATAAATATATGACAAACAAGCTAATTATATTGCAACTCATATCAAGTTACATTACGAAAAGTTCGCCTTATCAGTCCCTTAACTAGGTCTTGGGGGCTAAGAGCGCGGTTACCCAATGTTTA